TGTATTATAAATTTCCCAAATTTGGAGAGGGTTGGAACATTGATCTTAGATGAACATATGCAGATAGTGATTTTTAAAGAATAAGCATGCAATAAATGCAAAACTTCCTAAAATTGTAATCAGTAGATTTTACCTAGTAAAACAGTCAAGAGAAAATACAGTTATTTATAGAGGAAGCATCTACTTTTTAAAAGTCTATTAGGTAAGATGTTGGTTAGATTTAACTTAAATATAAAAAGGTTTATAATAATTAATCTAGGGTAAAGATTTAAAATGAAAGTTGTAAATATTTATTCAAAGTTCATATATTCTAGTACATTTTTAGATGCTCAAACTAGTTCAACAAAAAATACCAATGACAAAGACGAAAATGAGAGACAACATTATATACCATTGAATACTCCAACATTGCTGAACATCTCACAGCCCCAACACTTGGTCAAAAAATTGTTAATATTGTATCCTAAATCAAATAGCAAGAAATAGCACTTCCGAAATTTAGATTTGTAAATTCCCCAGATCTTTTGTCTTCATCTTTTTTTATAGAACAAAGACTAATTTACGCAACTAACACAAAGAATAATAGGTGGCAAAAGATTATTCTCTGTCCAGTATTTGTGTAGGAATGTTTACTAAATGTTACCGGGAGATAAATTTTAAGATTTTTGGGACATTCTAATCCTTCAAGTACTTGATTCTCTGAGTTCTTTCAGAAAATCATTGTAGATTGATCGAAAACTAAAAAATGGCTCAGGAAATTTTTAATAGTAAAGTTCGTGAACTGAAATTTTTTATTTTAGGACATGGCACACATACCATTAGGAGTGTTTTAAAACCAATAGCACTTGGCTTATGAGCATCAGAAAACCTATATGACTGCTCAATGTATTGTAAGTGAATATATAGAACAAAAGCTAGAGGGAATCTGAAAATACTCTTGTTTTCCCAAAGCCAACATAGTCAGAGTCTATGACACTGAGTGCTGTAAAAGTGTTAAAATGTTAGAATCTGATGTCATAAAATCCTGTTGTATGCTAGGTGGCCTGATTTGATCATTCCATAATATATATATGAATTGAAACATCACATTGTAACTCATAAATCTATACAGGTGGCCGGGCGCGGTGGCTCAAGCCTGTAATCCCAGCACGTTGGGAGGCCGAGACGGGCGAATCACGAGGTCAGGAGATCGAGACCATCCTGGCTAACACGGTGAAACTCCGTCTCTACTAAAAATACAAGAAAATTAGCCAGACAAGGTGGCGGGCGCCTGTAGTCCCAGCTACTCGGGAGGCTGAGGCAGGAGAATGGCGTGAACCCGGGGGGGGCGGAGCTTGCAGTGAGCTGAGATCGCGCCACTGCACTCCAGCCTGGGGCACAGAGCAAGATTCCGTCTCAAAAAAAAAAAAAAAAAAAAAAAAAACTATAGAGGTATTATTGTCAGTTAAAAATAAAAATAAAACTCTAAAAGCAAAAGCTATACCAAAATATTTTTAAAAGTCTGTGATAAGAGAAATGAACAAACTGAGGAAAAGCAGGAGACCTAGCTTTTCCGAACAACAGCTTTGTAGATTAGGGTAGAAAAGAGTATACTCTAAGAATTCTATTGCCAACCAAGTTGTCATTCATGTTTTCAATAAACTGGAAGATGATAGTGAATCTGTAAGGGCACAGTCTATATAATTCTATATTCAGAAATACAGAAAACAAAGATATATATGAAAGAGATGATCAATTTCTAAGTCTGCCTGCAAGTCATTAAACAGGGGGAAAAATCCAATTACATAAACACACCATCTATCTGTTTATTTACACAGGTATAATTTTTCCTTAGGAAAGAGTTAACTTTAAACTATGAAATGTTCAACACCTTTATTGCCTTTAACAAATACATTTAAAAAAATCAATAATGATGAATTTTTTTAATTGGAAAAAAACCTCCAGTGATATACAATTGGCATCATGATAATGCCTCACATAAGGCATAAAAATCCGGGTTGTATCTCAACCAATCTACTGCTTTGGAATTTTGGGATAATCTATAAGGGGTTGAGGATGAAGGATATAGTATAAAAATTAAACACAGAACTATAGACAAAAGCAAGTATAAAAAAAGCACACACACACACACCACACACACACACACACACGTACCAGTAAATGTAGTGGTCTAAACAAGGTGAATTTTTGTGTATACCCTTTTGGACTTGGAAACTTCTAGCTAGTTAATCTTTGGATACTAAAGGAATAAACTTTTATCATTGTCACCTGGTGGTGTAGAATACAGGTATAACCTTTATGAGGGGGGGAAAGATATGATGTACCATATGTTAACATTATTCTCCAAAATATTTAATGCTCAAAAACAGTATTTAAATATTGACAGTCAAGACAGTATCATGAATCTAATAGAAATATTAACAAGTAGTTTATTAAAGAGCTTTGTTGTAAGAGTAAATAAAGCTGGAAATTATAAATAACAAATTATGGGTTTGGATTATACAAGAACTGGACTTCAATCAGAGGATTTATACTCATAGAAAGGCCTAACTTAATACCTTGGCAAAATTTTGAGAGAATGAATAAATACCATCATTAATAAAAATAAAATCTTAAATCATATGCATACAGTTTTTAATGATTTCTCACTTAAACCAATTACATAAACTGCAAAAATACTAGTTCCGAAATAAAATAAGAAGACTTTAGTATCAGTCTTAGAGCTTGTAAAATCACAAATATAATTTTAGATTTACTTTCATTTTCTCTCTTGAGATAGTATCATATCTATTTTTAAAATTAAACTTATGAACTTAATAAAGGCCACCTAGACTACAAAGTGCAGAGAGCATCGCTTCATCATAGTATATCCTGTGTTGATATTGTCTTTAGAATCATGCTAATTTGTAGTATTTGTTGATTTTCATGGTGTTAATCCAAAAAAGTATATGATATTTGTAGATTATTCAAGTATTTTTGCCAAATGATATTAGACACAGTTGTTATTGCAAATTTTATTTTAAAATAAAAACAGCATGTTCAATTTTCTTCTAAGGTATACTAGGTAAAAGTGATCCTATTACTCTCATCCTTAAAAATGGGTCTCAATTTATGTATCCTTGTTAGACTGTAACACCAAAAATTATCATTGGACATAAAAGAGTTATAGTCATAGAAAATGCCTATGCGCCAAGTACTTTGCTTATAACTGTTATTTCTTTATTCATACAGTCTTTCCTTTCATTGAGCTATCTGGCAAGCTCTCCTAACTTCTCCTCTTTTATGAATGCCATTAGAATATTTTTAATAATGTGCATTTATTTATTTATTTATTTATTTATTTTTGAGACAAAGTCTCACTCTGTTGTCCAGGCTGGAGTATAGTGGTGTGATCTTGGCCCACTGCAACCTCCGCCTCCCACGTTCAAACCATTCTCGTGCCTCAGCCTCCCAAGTAGCTGGGACTACAGGCTCCCCGCCACCACGCCCGGGTAAGTTTTGCATTTTTTTTTTTTTTTTTTTTTTTGTAGAGACAGGGTTTCTCCATGTTGGCCAGACTAGTCTTGAACTGCTGGTCTCAAGCAATCCGCCCACCTCGGCCTCTCAAAGTGCTAGGATTACAGGTGTGAGCCACCATGCCCAGCCAACAATATGCTTTTAGTTATTTATTTGGTGATGTGCTGGTAAGCTGGCATTCTGAAAGTAAATAATTCAGCAAGCAAGCAAATATAAAGTTTTGAGTTATAGCATTTGCCTATTTCCACGTTGTAAATGCTGCCACTATAGCCAATTCAAGCTATCATCATGATGTTACTGAATTTGAAGTTGGGAAGAGATTTGTATAGAATGTCTTATTGATGTGGAGCAACCTGGCTCCAGCACAACACTGTGATGAATACATACTGCTTCTAATTTGTGTTTATTCTAATAGTCTATCAAAATGTCCATGGACATTTTTTGGAAGGTTCCAATATATGTAATTTGAGAAAATCACAGTGAGTCAATTTTAACATGATTAAAGATTTTAAGCAACAGCAGACAAAATTTTATTAAACTATGAAATGACAGAAAAACTTTTTTCAAATAATATTATATATAGAGGGAAAATAAAAAGGTTGCATTTACTTTGTGACAATGTTCATTATAAAAAAAATCACCAAAACCTTGCAAACTATATTTATGTTAGAGAATCTGGAGAATGGAAATGACCATATTATCTGATTGACAATGAAAAATTTTCATTATGTATTTTGAGAATCTAGGTCCAATACTTTACTGAATGAAAATGATTAAGTACATATTTTATGGCCCATTATCTCCTATTCTAATGATCATTACTTTAAAACACTTTTGAGGTAATGAGGCATTTAGTATTTAAAAATAGACCACACCTAGGACAGGGGTTGGCAAATGTTTTCTGTACAGGGCCATGAGTAAGTATTTCAGATGCTGCAGACCATACATTCTCTGTCATGAATGCACTTCTGCTATTGTTTTGGTAAAGCACCCAGGCTCAATATGTAAATTAATGATCATGACTGTGTTCCAATAAAACAGTGTTTACAGAAGCAGGCAGCAGATGGATAAAGCCTGTGGGCCATCCATACTTGTTTACCCAACCTTAGCATGTACTGAATCATTTGATTTTTTTTTTGTAGCTCTAATTCCAATATATTTTTTCTTGGTGCTTATGAAACACTGTCATAGATAACTCAAGTGTTTTTTAATAAAATTGCCCCAGTCAGTAAAAAGTTTTCACCAGTGTTTCTTAAACAAGATACTTTTGTAGCTAACTGCCAAAAGGACAATGCAATTGAAAATAAAATGATTATATTTGTGGACATATCTTCTTTTACATTACTATACCAAAATTTCACAACTAACCATAAGGAGAGAAGTTTACCTACACAGAGAATTATGAGAACATTTGCATATTAAATTAAAACGCATTTAGTATGAATGCATTCATTTTATTTTACTGTAAAATTCCTTATTCTTACCTTCCATAAGTTTCCCTGTCTGTTCCGCACTTCCCCCAGGAAGAATCTTGGCAATGTAGGCTCCAATTTCTCCACTATGTCCAGGGATTTCTTTACCACCCACAATTCTAATTCCTAATCCATTACCTGTAGTAAACAATTAGCAAATTATTAGTACTAATTTAAGAAGGGACAATAGTTATCACAAGTTATAGAGATAACAAAAAGTAGGTCAGGTACCCAGAAGCTAAATATAACATGAATATTGGAACTGGACACCAAAACCAAAGTATGTCATTCTGATTTCAATAATATAAAATAGGATTTTCTGAGCTCTTGGTAGACTCTCCAATGATTGACCTGACATTAACAAGTAATTTTTTGAATTCAGCCATATTCGGTAATATACCCAGGACTTGCCAATTTTTGACTAGGTATTTTGTAAAAATTTTATGAGTGTTCCCAGAAATTCACTTATGAAATTAAGAAATATTTTACTTACAGAAGAGCAGTAATGACTATTCAAAATTGAGAAGACACAAATCAATCATACAAACAATTGTAATTTATAAAGTGAAAACATGCTCATAATTTATAAATTATTATTCATTTTTCAGCCTTAATCAACTAATATTATTTGTGTATTAACCTGACACTACAAGACACAATAAAATTATTCTTGACTGATGAACATCTTAGTAAACTGCTTCTTACTTTGCAGTACAGGTTCTTCTGGAATTAGCCACATGAAAAGACCAGGGTGAATAATTATTATGAGAAACCTAATTGAGGTAAATATAAGTGTAGATATTTTTAGTTTCTGTGTTTTTTTAAAATACGGCTAAAAATTAGCAAGTATATAGAGCACTAAACATACCTAAACATAGAAAAATACAGTGAATGTACTGTTCTGTAATCTTATGGGACATTGTTGCATATATGCTTCATCATTGACCAAAATGTTATGTGGTGCATGAGTATGCTTTAATGCATAGCAGTTTTAAGATCATTATTTTGAAAGGCAAGAAACAAACACATATTAATCATGACAAATAATGGAATATTTGAATAGCTCTATTCTTTTTATTTTTTTGTAGAGACAAGGTCTCACTATGTTGTCCAAGCTGGCCTCAAACTCCTGAGCTGAAGCAATCCTCCTGCCTTGGCCTCTCACAGTGCTAGAATTACAGGCAGGAACTCTTTCCTTTTAAAGCAGTGGCTCTCAAATGGGGGTGACTTTTCCTCCCAGGTTATATTGGTCCATGTCTAGAAACATTTTTAGTTGTCAACATGGAACGATGCTACTGGCATTTAGTGGGTAGAGGCCAGGAATGCTGATAAACAACATACAATGCCCAGGATATCTTCCTAGGATTCTCTAAGCCAAAATGTCACTAGAGCCAAGGTTGAAAACCCCTGTTTTAATGAAAGCAATTCATGTTAATTATTTTAAATCTAATGTGACTATTGAGCAATCTTGATTTTTTAAGCTATAAAAATTAGAAAGATTGACATTGCTATAAAAATAAAACAAGAAAATCCTTTTGCAGAATTCCTTCTATAGAAATGAATGGGTTATAAATACGGGAACAGATCCTATATATAATACCAATACTTTAGTCACATGTTTTGGGGCTTTCCTTCTATTTGAATACCTTTAAAAACACTTTTTTCCCCCAGGAAGTCCATATCAGAACTTAGAATCCACAAATAGACTTAAGATTGCTATACCTTATAAAGGTATGGCTAAAAGTGTAGTTGCAGGCTGAGTGTGGTGGCTCATGCCTGTAATCCCAGCACTTTGGGAGGCTGAGGCAGGAGGATTGCTTGAGGCCAGGAGCTCAAGACCAGCCTTGCCAACATAGGAGACAAAAACAGAAAACAAACAAAAGAGTGTAGTTGTGGAACTTCAAAATCTATTCATCAGCATGAAGGACTTTAAAAATTTGGTTTTAGTTTCATTCTGCAAATGACAGTGTCTTGAAGGTGAAGTAGTTGGGTCCTTAGAGTCATTCAATTTCTAGTAGCTAAGCACATTCTAAAACCCTGTTGTAAAGGATCAGTGATGAGAAACTGTAATTAGAACCATCTCAATAAAGTAGCACAGACACAATAATTATTTAATTTTATAATGTAGTCTCACAATAGTGAATTCAAATACTCAAAAATGCTTTTGAAGTATACTTCACAAGCCTCATGTCTTTGGTAAATAGAATAATACAGTCAAAATGATCCTGTGAGAAATGAGACTATATACATAGAAACAATTTCAGTCATATAGTTAATTTTCAACAATTACTGTTCCTCTTGTTGACATTGCTATATTGTTTTTTGTTTTGAGACAAAATCTCACTCTGTTGCCCTTGCTGGAGTACAATGGTGTGATCATAGCTCACTGCAGCCTCAAACTCATGGGCTCAGGGATTCTCCCACCTTAGCCTCCCGAGTAGATGGGACTACTAAGTGCCACCATGCCCACCTAAGTTTTTTATTTTTAGCAGACACCAAATCTGGCTATATTGCTCAGACTGCTTTCAACCTCCTAGACTCAAGTGACCCTTTTACTTCAGCCTTCCAAAAGTTCTGGGATTACAGGTATGAGCCAATGTGCCCACCTGCTATTTTTTCTCATGTAGACAATTAAGTTGCATAGGAAGATTTAAAAATTTTTGTAGAATAGAACATTAGAAAATAAATGGACCCAGGAAAAATAATATTTGTTTGTTTGTTTTATAGTAGCTGCTTCTACCCTAATTTGAATGTCATGAAAAGAAATTAAATTTATGTAATTTTAAGGAATTAAATCTGGATATTTTGATTTCATATTTCTATAGTTGCACTGTAATGTTTTTTATTTCAAATATAGATAAAATGAATAAAAATATTTCTATAAAAATGTAACACCACTCCTCAAATCTAGAAAGCAGAATACCAATGGAATTTTTTGTAAACTCAAGAAGCAACATTAATTTTGAACTGAAATTCTTAGAAGTAAATGATCCTTGACAAGTGATGTGTATAGTATCATTTTTCAACTTTTGACAAATTTTTATAAACATAATGTCATCTCTCTGCTTTTGTTTCATCTCAAAAAATTGATGAAATGCTACTTCAGATGCCATGAAAATGGTCTTGTTTTTGTGTTCACAGTACGACAGCATACAGAGACATGTAAACCAATAGTTACTCCAGATAACATAAGTGCTTTACTAAAAAAAAAAGTCGTAAGTTGTGGTAATTTCATGATATATAAGCATATCTGTGGTTAAGAAAGTCTTATAGAGGAGTTTAAAATTTAGAAAACCTTCAAAGGTTGGGATATTTATAGAAAAGAGAAATTCAATGATAAAAGTAGCAAAACCATTAAGAAAAAGCATTACCTCTACTAGCCTTAGAATTACAATTTAAGTCTCTACGTACATTATAAGTATTTGATAAATACGCTACTTTGGAGTCATTTTAAAAATAAACTATGCACAAAACAAACATGAGCATACTAAGGGAAAATCTTTACATTTGCATTTAAATTTACAGATTAAATCCAATTTTATGTGTTTATTAATCTGTTACAATGAAAGCTCCAGTATTTTAAAGTATCACAAAGAATGTTTTCATTTTTAACATTAAAATATATATTAAAATATTATGAGGTTATAATTAGAACACTGCATTTGGATAAAATTAAAATACTTGTTTAATTTCAATACTCTCATATCCTATACTTAAGCATCAAGGGAAAGCAAAATTTGTATTAATGAACATACTGTTTCTTATGAATAGTTTAAATCAACTGTGTTGATTTTTTATAATAAAGCTATCCTAGAATAAAAATATATTGCTTAGTTCAGTTATGTCATTAGTTGGGCTAAAGAAGAAGACAGATTATACATATAATAATGTCTATAAAGTTCCAAGAATAATAGAAAAGTCCCCAAAGGATAGTTCATTAAATTTATTTTTATGTAGTTTACACATTACTTACACTCTTGAGTAAGGTTGTGAGAATTTAATTTTATATTATTTCACTTACTTATCTCTGTGTTGTAAATTATACATAAAAGTATTTAAGAAAGTAAACCAAATTATATTAAAAATTCATAATGATTTCCCTTTTTGTCCTATGAAATGCAACAGTTTGTTCATTAATTCTAAAACATGAAGACCTAAAGAATTTTCATTATTTATTTAATTATTGGTCAGTATTTAAAAAACGTTCCTATAAACACAACAATGTACATAAATCACCTTAATAACAATCCATACCTTACAGTTTTTAGCAACATCAAAATGGAAACAGCACATTCATGCCAAGTTTAATCCAACTCTAATCCTGAGTATTCCAATAATAAATTCACTTATGCCCATTAGCTTTTTCTTATCCAGCCAATTGCTCCAGGCATGAAAACTGCTGTTCAGCATCCCTTTGTTTGTAGTTTTATTTTATTTTTTTATTTTATTTTGAGATGGAGTCTTGCTCTGTCCCCCAGGCTGGAGTGCAGTGTGCAGTCTTGGCCCACTGCAACATCTGCCTCTAGGCTCAAGCGATTCTCCTGCCTCAGCCTTCCTAAGTAGCTGGGATTACAGGTTCCTGCCACCAGGCTCAGCTAATTTTGTGTATTTTTGGTAGAGAGGGGGTGTTGCCATGTTGGTCAAGCTGGTCTCAAACTCCTGACCTCAGGTGATGCCTGCTTTAGCCTCCCAAACTTCTCGGATTACAGGCATGAGTCACTGCGACTGGCCTGTTTCCAGTTTTAAATGTATATCCTTTATGTACATGAAAAATTTGAAGGAACAATTCATCTTACATTTCCATGAACTTGCATTCACACCTCTTTTCTAATGTAATCTAAATAATATTAATATTAAAATGTTATGTACAGTTCAAAGACTGTACAAAAGCCTTTCCATATTCACAGTATAGTGCACGAGATGAGTCCAACATGGCCTGACATACGACTGAAATGACCATTGGCATGGGAAATAAGGAAGACAAGTTAAAAAATACACAAAAATGACACTGGTATTCTGGCTCTGTAGAACACACTTTTCTTTCTTTCTTTTTTTTTTTAAAATTTATTTATTATTATTAAACTTCAAGTTGTTATTGCAGCACTATTCACAATAGCAAAGACTTGGAATCAACCCAA